AAATACTTCAAGTCTGTCAACTCCGAGTTGCTACACACGCAAGCCATTTTTGACACTAACTACTAAAAAACTATTGTAAACACTATGGCAACGATGATTGTAAAATCAGATTTCAGTATTTGGAGTCGCTAAGGCCACGTGGCTCTTCTTGCATATTACGAATGAAGCTAGAGACTACAGTTGTCCAGCTATGTAATGGTTGAAAGTATTACACCTTCAATAATTTTTTTCTTGGAAACCATAAGGATTTTACAAAAATTTTTTTTACGATTTTGCAAGTTATTTTGAACCAAAAAACAAACTATAAGTAGTTACTCACAATAAAATTTTTAGAATTAAACTAAACTAAACTAAATTTTAAGTTTTGAGAGCACAGACCCTGAATCTCTTTAAATTCGATGGGAAAAAAAAATTCTTGAAACGTACTGAATTATGATGTGGAGGAATTTTATTTATGGACGTCCAACGACAAGAAAATAAAAATAATTTACATTGCCGCAACTAGGAGGTGTTCACCGAAGACGCCTGCATCGCAAGGAGCGGCGGTACGAGGGGCATTACCTTCACGCCCCTGTCAGAAAATGAGATTTTGAAGTCTGGCGATTTGGTGGCGATGGACGCCGAGTTTGTCACTTTAAACCAGGAGGAGGCCGAGTTGAGAAGCGACGGGAAAATGTCCACCATCAAACCGTCGCAGATGTCGGTGGCAAGGATTACTTGTATAAGAGGGTAAAAAAAAAAAATTTCATATATTATCACGTAAAGTTTATTTTTGACTGTGCGAAATGGTACAATGTTGCCGGATTGTAATTTTTTTCAGAATGTCAGCAAATCAATTTTTTTTTATTATTATAGCCTGGAACCGCAGATCACGAGGTGCTTTTAAATCTTGACTATATGTTTGTGTTTTATATATTTTAATATGAAAATTGGGGTATCTTCTCGTCTATAAAAAAATTTGATTAGTGTTTTTTTCTTCCGGAGTTAACCTAGAATCGAGAATTGAACAGTTTATTTTGTCCCGCTATGACTTACGAACGACACACTTGTCTTACCTACTGTACAATCTGTTGCATAGGCACGGGCATATGGAGGGGACGCCGTTCATAGACGACTACATCTCCACCCAAGAACAGGTCGTCGATTATCTAACCAAATTCTCGGGTATTAAACCAGGGGACTTAGACGCCAATTTCAGTTCGAAGCATTTAACTACTCTTAAGTCGACTTACACTAAATTAAGATTTTTACAGGACAGCGGCGTTATTTTTGTGGGACACGGACTTAAGAACGATTTTAGGTGAGTATGGGTCATCTGTAGGGCCATGACTTGTCTCGGAAAGGAAGCTTCACGTTGATATGAAATTTTTTTTTTTAAATTACCGCCTATCACTCTTTGTTCCCAAGATAGCTTTTTTTTATTGTTAATTAACTGTTGGACCTATCGGACCGGGATTTTTGAGACAATTAAAGAAAGGGTTAAACTTTTATTTCCAAAAAGTTCATGTAATAAATGCGCTAGCAGTAGTAAAAGTTAACATAAATGAACGGCCGGCACGCGAGAGAAAGAGCGCCGGGCCCGCGCATGCGCGTGAACGTCGCTCTCGTCGCGCTCGAGATTTTTTACTTGAACGTTTGTTTCAAATTCAGTTAAAAATGTTCAAATGTCTACTAATAGTCCAACCAAATTGCACTTGGAGAAAAAAAATGTTACCTGGACTTTTTATAAGTGGAAATGGTAAAAGGGCTTATAATAAACCTAAAAAAAATAAATGCGTGAGCAGGGGCGGCGGAGGGTTGATTTGGGGGATTGAAAAGTTATGAAAAATTGTATCATTGGGATTTTGGAGAAAGTTGACGCCAAACAAAAAAGTATCCAATACAAAAGTTGTAGATTATGCAAAAATCTACAACTTTTGTAGAGGTCACTTTTTAACATAACCTCAAAATTTCCGAGAAAAATGCGAGACAGGTTTTTTCTGATTTTTCGTTTTTTATTTCTCATTTCCGCAAAAATAATTTAATTTTGATGAAACTTGGTGAAAGTATACCTTTGTCTATCTTAAATAACTTCAAATTTTTTTAGATAAAAAAATCAAGAAGTTTCTGAGATATTCATTTTTTTCGGCCTGAAACACTTTTTTTTCAAAGAAAAATTCTATTTAAAAAAATCATAGTACAGAGTTTTGCCAGTAATCATTTTTTCGTTTTGACTTATAGTTTTTGGTGAAATAAAAAAATTTGTAATCACAGCTCAAAAACATGCTCAAAAATGCAAAAAAGTAAAAAATTACTTGCAACAATGAATTTTTCAATTATTGTTGATAATTTGTTTAAATTAAAAAACATTCAAAAACTGATTGCACCATTCAATTCTACGGAAAAAAATAAAAAAAAACTCATTGTTTGACCCAAAACTTTATTTTTGTACAGTACTGCTATAAACATCTAAGTTGAATTATGAATGCACAAATAATAAATTATCTCTGAATGATTCTAGATTTCAGCAATAGAAAGAATTAACTGCAAAGTCTTCTGTTGACGCGAAATCCGAAAACCCGAAATTTTGCAAAATCGTTTAATTTTTTTTCTGGCTTTATTTGAAAACAAATTTTAAATAAATTGCATATTTATATTGCCACTTTTTTCGCTCTGTCCAATGGCGTCAACATTTTTGCAATCCCACGTTTCGTCTTTGATGAGCCATCATCAGATTNTGCATATAGAAATTGTACCGAGTGTTTCTGAAATAAGTGCGTTCCTTTAAAGGATTAATAGATCGATCAACTTATTTTAGGCCAAAAATTGTATGAATGTAGGTCGTAATTCTCTTCATTTCAAGGTATACATACCAATTATCTAAAAATACTATATTTTCTAAAGTATTTCTGAAGACGTAATTTGATGGAACTTGAGCTACTCTTTATACTATAAGAATAAAAATTGATACATTTGTGACAACCAGTAGCGGATATACGAGGGGTCATTAGCACTGTGAGTCTCAGTCCGACGCCAATGAGTATCCTGAAAATTGAGTTGGTGCATTTTATTACATATTTAATTTGTCAGAAAAGAAATCTCGTACAGTTTGTTCGATTTTAGACTTATTGTGATGTTTTTTATTAAAGTGAGCATACACAGTTATAGTCCAACCAAATTACATTTGGAGAACAAAAATAATTGTTACCTGGACTTTTATAAGGGGAAATGGTAAAAGGGCTTATGATAAACGAAAAAATATAAATGCGTGAGCAGGGGCGTCAGAGCATATTTGCATTGCCACTTTTATCGCTCTATTCAATGGCGTCAACATATTTGCAATCCCACGTTTCGTCTTCGACGGGCCATCATCAGATTAATTTTTTTAAATATGTCGCTGCTATTTTTATGACAAAATCTAGTCATTTTTAATTCTGTATTAGATGATATTACTATTGTAATCGTAATCGTAAAAAGGTTTTTAGCTATCATTAAAAATTTTTCCTGAGTACGGCTCTGAACGCTTTCTATTGGAGGAGAGAGAGAGAGAGAGAAGAGAATAAAAGTCAATACAGTACAAAATATCCAACAATTTTTTTAATCCATAATTTAAAAAGTTATACCTAATAAAAAAAATAATACGAATTTATGAAATATTTTATTATTTCTAATTAGTATTGCTAATAGTAGTAAAAAATTGTTGGATATTTTGTGCGGTATTGACTTTTATACTGTTATGACTTCATCCAATAGATATTTTGAAAGCGTTCAGAGCCGTACTCAGGAAAAATTTTAAATTATAGCTAAAACAAGCTAAAAACTTTTTAAGCGATTACAATAGTAATATCCTCTAATTCAGAATTAAAAATGACTAGATTTTGTCATAAAAATAGCAGCGACGTATTTAAAAAAATTAACCCGATGATGGCCCCTCGAAGACGAAACGTCGGATTGCAAAAATGTTGACGCCATTGTATAGAGCGAAAAAAGTGGCATTGTAAATATGTAATTTATTTTAAAATTCGTTTTCAAATAAAGCCAGAAAAAATTAAACAATTTTGCAAAATTTCGGGTTTTTCCGGATATCTCCGGAACTACCCGGAATTTTAAAACTTTCTAAACAGCATATTGTTAGGTATAAAAAAACACAACTTTTTTCTAATCTGAGCCACCCCGTATCTCTTACCGTTTCCTAGATCCTAATGCTATCCCATCCTTATCTTGGACACACTGTATATCTATGAATTCATCAAACTTTAAAAAAAATAAGTGCACTAATCGATCCTACGGAAAAAAAATTATTATTTATTTTATTTATTCACTATTCGACTTATGTTTATAGCAATACTGTATAAAAATAGTTTTGGGTCAAACAATGAGACAGTTTTTTTTATTTTTTCCCGTAGAATTGAATGGTGTAATCAGTTTTTGAATGTTTTTTAATTTAAACAAATTATCAATAATAACTGAAAAATTCATTGTTGCTAGTCATGTTTTACTTTTTTGCATTTTTGAGCTGTGATTACAATTTTTTTTATTTCACCAAAATGTATATGCCAAAACGAAAAAAATTATTACAGGTAGAACTCTGTACGATGATTTTTTTAAGTAGAATTTTTCTTTGAAAAAAAAAGTGTTTCAGGCCGAAAAAAATGAATATCAGAAACTTCTTGATTTTCTTATTTAAAAAAATTTGAGGTTTTGTCAAAATTAAATTATTTTTGCGGAAATGAGAAATAAAAAACGAAAAATCAAAAAAACCTGTTTTGCATTTTTCTCGGAAATTTTGAGGTTATGTTAAAAAGTGACCTCTACAAAAGTTGTAGATTTTTGCATGATCTACAACTTTTGTATTAGATACTTTTTTGTTTGACGACAAATTTCGCCAAAAGTCCCAATGATACAATTTTTCATAACTTATCAACCCTCTGCCGCCCCTGCTCACGCATTTATTTTTTTTTTCGTTTATCATAAGCCCCTTTACCATTTCCATTTATAAAAGTCCAGGTAACAATTTTCTTTTTTTTTCCCACTAAATGAGTTATTTTGATCGGTCTATAATAGTTTTTTCATGTTCAAACTTTAAATCGAATGGAGTATAATTGTAGGAAATTATTCAAAGATAAAAATCATTATTTAGAGAAAAACATTTGCAAGGGCGTTTTAGCTATTACTGTTTTCGTTTTCTCGCCGTAACTGTCAAAACAAAAAATTAATGTAATTTTTATTATTATTAAATTATAAAACTTGTTATAAAATGGGATTTTAAGATCATCTTGACTTTTCAGGGTGATTAATTTAGTAGTTCCTCCAGAGCAAGTGGCCGACACAGTGCAATTGTTCCATTTACCTCATCATAGAATGGTTTCCCTGCGTTTCCTCGCCTGGCACTTCTTGGGTGAGTCGTCCTCTGCCGAAAGCGAAAAAACTCGCACTTGCGATGGTTGTCGAATGACTTTCTCCCTTGTAATTTTTTTTAGGGATAAAGATTCAGTCGGAAACGCACGACTCCGTGGAGGACGCGAGGGCCGCCCTCCAGCTGTACAAAAAGTACAAACAACTCGAGGCCCAGAGCAAGGTGGGGGACGCCCTGGCCGAACTGTACGAGACGGGGAAATTGCTGAACTGGAAGGTTCCCGAGGACTAACCCCCTTTAGATATAATGTTAGCGAATAGAAACGGTGATGATATTAATTAAAAAACTTATAGTAAGGCCTTAACGAAGTGACTACAGTTCGACCAGTGTCGCGTACAGGGCGATCCATGGCTCTCTTCGTGGACGGAGGATGCGATGCTTCCGATAATCGCCCAATAAGAGTTGATCACAGAAAGAGAGTTAATAGAGCACCCTGTACATGACTGCCGAGTTTAATGAAAATACAATTTACTAGAACCACGGGGGGGCGTGCCTCCTCGTGGTACTACTTTGCCAAACCGCAGGCGCTATTCTCGTATAGCATTTTAAATGGGAGGAGCGAGAGCGTTGGAACTCGATACGTTTACAGCGACAGGCAAACTTGTGTCAGCGGCGCTCCGAAACGTGCTGTGCGAGACGTTAGCGCATCAATTTTTTAACTGGTTTTATTTTGTAATTGTCCCGAAACGTGCATTTATGTATTTTATCCATTCCACACTGTATTTTTGCCATTCGTCGAATCTGATCTACAAAATTATTTTTTCTATGCAACAAAATAAAGGAATAAATTTTATATGTAAAATATAGGTGTGTTTTATTCAGTTTAATACGCTCGTTTCACCATCTCGTAACTGAATCTTCTGGAGTAGCGTAAGTGGAAGGCGCAAACTCTTCGATCAGCCTCTACGGGTATGTATGATTCGACGCTTTGAGGGGGGTCAATAGCCTAGAAAGACGAGGACGGACGGACAAGGTAACACGAAACGTCATAATTAATAGTTTCCATTCTGCGTTTTTCTGTAAATTTAAATTTTATAAGCTACGATTAACGAGTAACATTTACAGAATCCTAAATTATGCAATTCTTAAACTATTGTAACGATCCTAGTTCAGATACAAATGAACTACTGCATATCGATTACAGATAGAATATAGGCTTTTTATATTTATAAATGAACAGTTTGGAAGAGACTAATGGTATGAAAAGCATTATTTTACATTTACAGATAAACTCATTCAGCAAAAGGAACAGACGCAATGCAACGAGAATCTTTTCGTCTGCTCCTAACCTCACAAAAAGATCCGATAAGTCGCTCCAATGACATCAAAAGTGCTTTCTTCTTTTTGACAAAGATGATAGTTATTAGCAGCTGTTGGCAACTCGGAGCATAAACCTTATGTTCAATTTAATACAAATATTGCAATGTTTGTCACTCAAGATTGCTCCTTTTTTCCCTTAATGCTCCAAAAATTTGAAGAATATGTCTGCAAATTCAACTGCTTTTGTCGCTATTGTTATTATTAATTAATAAAATTAATTTGTGATTTAAATTAATTAAATACTTTGATACCCGACACACCTGATGTTACAACTATTCAAAATTTTGTCCGCCGAAACACATTTGTTGTCTTTCTTCACCATAAATTAAAACTATATCCATCAACTCCGATCGAGTTGCTAATTGTTGCTATATACATGTGTAAGCCATTTTTAACATTTGAAAAACTAATGTAAACACTATCGCAAAAACGTAAATACTAACATCGGATTTCAGTATTCGGAATCGCCTGGGGCCATGTGCAGAGAGAGAGCGAATTGCGTACAGCTGTGTAAGGGTTTTAAATACTACAGCTTAAATAATTTTTTTTTTCGGAAACCATAAAGATTTTACTATTTTTTTTTTACAATTTACATTTTTCATAACGCATCTATTCCCAATTTTTTTTGGATAAGTTGTGAATCACCCTGTATATTATAATACTTCTTACGGATCCAGATAATATCGCTAATGTCTGAAAAAATTTCACTAAGCACGTTCTAAAAATATTAAGAAAAATAATTAAGATTTTAGTTATGACAACAGATGTCTTTGGGATGAAATTCATTATTGGTCCCATATTATACATGTCCTAAAATAGTCTTTGTGTTATCTTCGTTTCAGATTTTAAGGACTAGATTTTATGATCAAAGACAAATCAGCTCAAAAGTAAAGTTTGCAGAACTAAAGTTTTTTTGCTTAACTTCAAAAAGTAAGTCATTCAAATTATGTCCAAAAATTATCATTTGAGGAAGTCGTCGACATGGGCGTAGCTAAGGGGGGCAGGGGTGTGCACAGTCCTTCCCAGAAAGCTCGGTGACCACCCCAGAAAAAATTATCATTTTTGTCATATCGATAATAAGTCGGTGACTACGTGATCTTTATTTAGAATCAAAAATCAAAACGTGTTCAAATTTTATGTCGGTATAAGTCGCTGATTGCGAGAGCTTTTTTTTAAAGACGGAGATAGAAATAGAGCTTTCCCACCCCAGCTAAAATTGTAGCTACGCCCATGGTCGTTGACGCCAACTTCTAGGTAGCTAAAAAGTAACTTCATAAACAAGTAATTACAACCGTACTGCGTACTAAAAACCCGTGTCCAGCCTTCAATTATTATGACGCACTATTTATCTATTAAACAGTTTACATCTCACGACCCATAGTAATTGTTAAAAAAAAATGTTAAATATTATTTTAATTTAGTTTTGAATGAAATTCATATATTTGGCGGGAAATGCGGACAATGTAGTTCAAGTTTAAAAAGAATTAATTGGCTCACATGTTAAATTTGTGTGTCCAATACTGATTTTAACGTGGAAAATAAATTATAGTTAGTTAGTATGTATACGTGCTGCTGTTGGAAGAAAATACACTGAAAATCGGAATTTATGTTTCAAAACATTAATGGCTAATCTTTTCGAAAGATTAGAATGGAAAATTCGTGCTTTTGTAATTAAACTTTAGATTCGTGCACATTGTAAAAATTATATGCATGCTTTTCAATTTAGATATACCAACAATAGAGTGTATAGACGAGTAGCTATTTTTTTTAATAAATTTCATTAACTGTCATAGACTGATGATGTGTAAAAGATAATTCCCAGTCGTTTAATAAAATTTTATTTTGTCTACATTTTGCCAGTCTCCCGAATAACTGATAATTCGTCCAGAATTAACATTCATGAAATACGATAAACACGTAACATTATTAACGTGACCATTGACCATTCAATTCGTCATCGCGATTAACGGCGTTTATGGGGGCTCGTCAGAGGTGGCAGAGTTATCGCCAACACACCCATCGAGTCGTTGAGATAAAAATCCGCGGATCATCCAGCTCAAGGTCTCATTATCAAGAAAATATTCATTTGGGGTTTATTTTTATGAACTGCTGGCTGCTCGTGTGGAGGGGAAGCTAGCTGAAACCGGTGCTGGTGCGCTCGAAAAAGCTGTTAAAAAATCAGTCGGCGTATATTACTTGTGCAGTGGAGTTCGAATGACCCAAGTTTATAACAACCGGTAACTTGTTGTGAATAAATAACAGTGTTCTGTTACTATTGGCAGTACCAACTGAGTCGATTGACTGTTACACGTTTGTTTAATTTCTAACTGTTCAGAGGTAATTAGTTCACTTTCTTTCGAAAATATAAAAAAATTGAATAATTCAAAGGGAAAAGATTTTTAACTTCGTTACTGATATAAACAATTATTTCTATTAATCACACGCAGGCGGCAATTTGCCTCTAACGAGCTATTAAAGTACTCATTTTTATCAAGTAATCGTTAATAGTTAATAAACTATTGTTTTGAAGAAATATATAATTCACTATAAAAATTCTTGCAGGGCGGTCACGAGACAACTTATTCTCCCACCGCTGCATCTTGGTAGTGCTCCGCAATTTTTAAAACGATAAAAACTGAAAATCAAAATTTCTTGGCATTTTTATTTTTACACTTGTTTGCATATCTCAAAGTATAATAATAACGGAGAAAATAAATGGAGCAATTTTGCTGCAACCGCACTGTACAACTGTGAGTCTGTGTCAAGATTAGAAATGCCGGATATTTGGAGGGAGTGGAGGTGGAGTGGAGCGTGAACTTTCGGAACGCCTGCTGCGTTATTTTTTATGCAATAATTCTTAAATCGTAATTTCTGTGGTTCGGTTTCTTTTTTTAGATTCAACTGTCTATAGTCATCAACATACTCCCACCATATACGCTAAAAAAACATGCCACCTATTTTAACTTGTTTTACTTTGATAACAGTAAATAATCTTATTTAAAAATTCATATGAATGATATTCCTCGGAAATGTCATTAAAAATAATACGTAATTTTCTTTGCAATAAAAGTAAATAAATAGTCCTCTCGTATTTTTCATTATTTTTACTATTATAAGCATTGATTAATGGTCGTGAAAATACGTTCCATTCAAAAGTTTGTAGAAAGGAACAGCCACACAAATCATACAGACATCTGAAATAATGTAGGGTAGGATAAAAATTGTTTATGAAAATAATATTTCAAAGAGGCAATATTTAAATTTTATTCACACTACTGTATGAATTGTTAATGTTAAACACGTATTGGAATATTAATGGACTCGAAAATTAAAATCAACAAGTCAAGGTGAACAATAATTATCATGCGCAAAACACTTGCAGCAACTTTAGATCCGATACAGCGTATATGACCAATTTCTTTAATGGAATACATAATTTTTATATTCAATTTGAAAGCTGAATTTAATATGAGTGATAAAAAAATATATGTTTTTATACGCTCGAGATGTCAATTGATTTTTAAAATTATCAAGGTAGGTAACGGATTTGAAATCAAATAATCGTTGTCCAGTATACTTGACTTAACTGCGACCGTGCGTCTTTATATTAACATGTAGCTGGGAGAAACTCGTTTAAAAATAAATTAAAATATCAGAGACATTCTTGCCTGCAAATTTTGTTTCAGGTACTGCGAAGAAGGATAGATACAAAAAGCTGTAAGCAGGAGCCGGAAATCAACCTACTGGATCTCATAGTGTAATGGCATCAGCATCTTCGCGAAGATGGACGGGTAGGTTTGTCTTTGAACAAAACGTCTAGTTTTCCAGTAATACGTCGTAAATTATATTGATACTAACTGGTTTTTCATTCTGATGCGACCGAGTTATAAATAACTACGTCAGCCATGTGCTTCAGGTTTTTATATGAATCTCGTTTTAACTACCTACGGTATGTATGTATGTACATGAACATTAGTAAAAGATGTTTTTCTAATAAAACTGTTTGTTTGATGGACATACATATTTATGTAGTAGATTTTGATTCATACAAATTAGTGATTTTTTTTTGTGGAAAATTGAATTTTACCGTTTTATATACCAAATTGTAAAAATTACAGAATGGCAACTAATTCGATAATAAACGGAATTATTTTTGTTCCAGTCGTTAGTTAAAAAAATTGGCTTTTATTTTTTCACATTAATTATTTTGGAATATTTATGTATGTATGTCGAGGATATTTTATTAAGGTCGTCGGACCACCAGCATAAAAACACTAGAAAACCATGAACTGTGGTTATATTCTGTCGCGAATTTTCGTTACAATTTTTTCTTTTCTTTAGGGGATAATTTCTATGGTCACATAGAAAAATTTCGCGGTGAAAAAGTTTCGAATTGAATTTGGGAATTGAAGTAGGTACCTACTTGTAGCACAACATATAGTCCAGGCGGTATCTGTCTTACAAAGGGTGTTCTTGGGTAAAACGCATATGATCGGAGATTTTTGCTTTAACGGCTTCTAAATAACATCAGAAATGATAATTTTTCTATGCAAATAAAAAAACGTGGGCTTAATTGTTATTACAAAAAAGTATAAAAAAATAACAAAAAAAATCAATTTTTTCTTGGATTTCTCGTCGACAACTTAGCAACTATTC